TTTTTTTTTTAAGCTAACTTTGCTCGCGCATCCTCCGGCCCCCGCCGGGGCGGGGTAGGGGAGTGAGGGATGGCCGCGGGCGCGCATGCGCAGAGAGGGCGCTCGTACAGCCAATGCTCCGCGGCCGCGGTGGCTCCTCCCCGAGCCCGGCCCACTCGCCGCGCACGCGCAGACCAGCGTCAGGGAAGGAGCGCGAGTGCCAGTTCCGCTTTGTTCCCCGGCCCGCGGACGCTGGTGAAAACCCCGCCTCCTCGCTACAATCTCCACCCCACCTACGCGCGCACGCGCATTAGTTGCCGCCCCTCCCCCAACACGCGAAGACCTGGCACCTAACCCTCCCCCCGCGAGCCCAACACCTCCTACTCTCAAGGCCCCCCCCCCACCTCCAGCCTCCCCTCGGGCCGCACCCAACAAAGCGCCTTTCTGCCACCGCCTCTTCCGTCTCCGCTTCTCTCAGACCTTCCCCTCACCCCCTCCCGTAGTTTCCCCCCCCCCCCCAACCGCCCTTCCGCCCCACCCCCCCCCCCCCCCCCCCCCGCCCCCGCGCCCCGCCGCCCCCCCCCCCCGGGGAGCGGCGCGCGGCGAGGGACCCCAGGGGAAGGAGAGACAGCGTGAAGGAATCGAGCACCGAGTCATCGAACCGCGGTTGCTAAGCGACGGAGGCGGGTGTAAGGGTCCGGAACTTGAAATGGTTGGTCCCACAGTAGAGCAGCTTTCTCCCTCCTGCAGTGCAGTCAGCCCGAGGCGGCCCCGTCCCCCCCACCCCCGCATGCGCAATGTATGTCCGACTGCAAGACCTCGTGTATGGTGTGCCAGCCGTGAGGGACCGTGGAACCTAGAACTGGGAATGGCGAAGCTAGGAAGAACCTGGAACAGGGATGTCAGGGCTGGGAGGGGCCTTAGAACAGGGATGTCAGGGCTGGGAGAGAACTTAGAACAAGGAATGTCAGGGTTGGGAGGGGCCTTAGAACAGGGAAGTCAGGACTGGGAGGGGCCTTAGAACAGGGATGTCAGGGCTGGGAAGGAACTGAGAACAGGGAATGTCAGGGTTGGGAGGGGCCTTAGAACAGGGAAGTCAGGACTGGGAGGGGCCTTAAAACAGGGATGTCAGGGCTGGGAGGGAACTTAGAACAGGGAATGTCAGGGTTGGGAGGGGCCTTAGAACAGGGATGTCAGGTCTGGGAAGGAACTTAGAACAGGGAATGTCAGGGTTGGGAGGGGCCTTAGAACAGGGATGTCAGGGCTGGGAGCAGCCTTAGAACAGGATGTCAGGGCTGGGAGGGGCCCTAGAACAGGGAATGTCAGGGCTGGGAGGGAACTTAGAACAGAGAATGTCAGGGTTGGGAGGGACCTTAGAACAGGAATGTCAGGGCTGGGAGGGAACTTAGAACAGGGAATGTCAGGGCTGGGAGGGAACTTAGACCAGAGAATGTCAGGGTTGGGAGGAGCCTTAGAACAGGGATGTCAGGGCTGGGAGGGGCCTTAGAACAGGGAAGTCAGGACTGGGAGGGGCCTTAGAACAGGGATGTCAGGGTTGGGAGGGGCCTGAGGACAAGGGATGTCAGGGCTGGGAGGGCCCTGAGGATAGGGAATGTCAGGGTTGGGAGGGAACTTAGAACAGGGAATATCAGG